TGAAGTGGGTGCGAAGGCAGCTTGATGGCAGGGCCCATTCGGTGGAAGAGCGGTAAGTTTGGAAGAATGATTAATGTCCTCGTTTGCCCCATTTTGATAATATGTAATTAAAAAATAAGAAAAAAGTTTAAATTAGTATGTAATATTATTTTATTAAAATTATGTAATTAAAATGATGACAAAATATTGTTGAAAATTACATTTTTTTTAAGAGAATGGGGTTCAAACGAAGGCGAAGTAGAGACCCATGCCAAAGGGCAGCTGGCCATGATAGGTGGGGGCCCTAGCAGGCAAGACTTTATTCAATCGAGTTTATTATTCCACCGATGTTATCTGTAAAGAGGATTTATTATCGAGAAATGATATTTGCAGTGCATCAAAAGGGTGTTTGACACTCATTTTTAAGAAAAAATGAATTGTAGAATAGTAGATTCATAAAGAATGTATGGATAAAAAATTTTCGATTTACGTGTAATATTATTTTAATGAAAAATCTGTGTAAAAAAGAAAAGAGAAAAAAATTGGAATCAAATGAGACCCAAATCAATAACTGCTACATGTATGTCCCGTAAGGCGACTACACTAATCAGCAACTGTAAATGACATTATTCTTGATTATTTTATCAAATCAATAATCGTCACATATATATCATGTAGAATGACTATGATAATCAATTATTGTAAATAACATTATTCTTGATTATTCCAAAAATGTTACCACCGGTGAAGAGGATTTATTATTAGGATTTTTCTAAATGCATTCTTACATCCCCTCACATGAGAGGACCCCATGATCAATGTGGAGCCCTCTCATGTGAGGTGCTGTCATGCAGCCGTACACTTTTAAGCAAGAATGGCTCTTATTATTATTCCGCCAATGTTTTCATTCGTAAAGCTCTTTACATTTACCGACAACCCATTAAAAATTCTGTCCCCTATACATTACCTACCACGAAAAATGTGTAATCTTTACATTTTTCCAATTTGAAAAGCTTAAACATCGGTCATGTCGAAAAACTCGAAAACATTTTTCTGATCTAATAAAATGTCAATTATTAGTTTATAATCAGATCGGTGATTAAATTTTTACTAACGATGGATGATATTATTTCAAATGAAAGGTAAAAGTTACTTCTAAGTAACTTATTTAAACATGTGTAGGTATTACTTCTAAGTAACTTATTCTGATTTAATAAATATTTTAATTTTTACTTTATTGTCAAAACATGCAATTTATATATTCATAATAAAGTAACTTCTCAATAGTTGACTTTATAATTCGCATTCTTTTTTTTGTAATTGCATTTGTAATATTAATATTGACCCACCAAAAATTAGGAGTGGGGCATGATCTGATTCAATTTTTTTCAAAGGGAACCAAACCAAATTGAATTCCAATAAAAATTCTAAAAATAGAATCATTGATTCCATATTCAACTACGGAATCAAATTGAAAATGATCCAATTACTATACTACTTGTCGTATTGAAAAAAATAAAAATAGAGTATAAAATTATTTGTCATTCTTGTATCTAATAAAAAAAATTACAAAAAAATCAGATAAACAAGAGAACAAACAAAAATCAACTTCAAGGCTCAAGATCAACTGATAAAGGTAGAAGAAGGGACAAACCATTAACTGTTTGAGCCACATACTTTAATAAAAAAAAATATTTTTAAATAGTAATTTGACATCATTTCAACAACATATTTTTCAATAAAATAATATTACAAGCAAATCTATAACTTTTCCTCATTTTTTAACCACACATTTTTCATCAATTTACTATTCCAAAATACATTCTTTCAAAATAATATGGTTCAAACGCACACAAAGTCATCATAAAGCAGGAAATTTTGATAGAAAGTTAATTATTAAAAAAAAAACTCATGCAACAATATATTAAAAAAAAAAATGCATGCATTATTAGTAACCTGATTATCTTTAATATTGTGAGGAGAAGATCGTGAATTTTGATGGTCGATCACGTTGAAAACAACGAAAAATTTGAGTTCTTATTAAAGATTAAACTAAATTTTTCCTAATGGTGTTGAACTAAAGTTATGCATATGTAAAGTATTTGTAAAATTATTTAGATTTTAATTTTAACTATCCATTATGTTTTGTTGCAAATGAAACAAAAAGAGACGTTCAAATATATAGTGCATATTAGTGCAATGCACCAACAACAAAATAAATAAATAAACAAAAATTGACTGAACCAAATTTATATTAATTTTCAAGGCAGTGCTGAGATCTCGATAAGAACTGATTGATTCTCGATAAATGGTCCTACAATCGTTCCATTTAGTAGAGGACCAGAGCTAGGACCGATCAGTTCTATCTGATTTTGGTTTGATTCCACCACTTTCGATAAAAATGTCCACCCCTGCGAAAAACAATAATCATCCATCGTTCAACATTTTACCTATCTTCTTCAATACATTTTGGTGAATAAGTATTTTTTTTGTCTAAAAATTTCTAATATTGAATCCCCCTATATTTCTATTCTCTAATATCAACTCAAGTAATTAACAATACTTATTTATTTATTAAATAGTCCCTCGTGTAAGAATTATTCTTACATATGATCCTATTATATCTTTGTGAATGATGTGAATATATGAAGACGAATTAAGTCCCACAAACATTTACAACGTTATCATACAAATCATTACCGTATATTTCTATCCACTATCGATTATAGATCAAGTAATTGAAAGCAATATTGACATGACAATCATTCAAGCCAAACAAATATTTTACATCAAACACTTGAAATTAACATTAAAATTTCAGAATATAAGGTTCATTGTCATCCTATTATTGACAATTAATCAAGCATCATAAAATTACACAAACATGATTTGGAATAATAATACACCACTTGAATTTCAATCGAAAAAGAAAATAGAAAATGACTCTTGAATCGTTTCAATAATTCTTGAACGATCTTCTTGTATTTTCTTATTCCTCTTCCCAAATTTGAGTAAAGGTATTACTTTTGTGTAAAATTGTGTGTTCGTGAATCCAAGTTTCTTCCCTCTTCAATGGCAGAAAAATCTTCTTTTATAGTCCCAAGAATAGGATAAAATTCGTGTCATTTCTCTTTCCATATAGAAGTCTAATTAGACTACAAAATAAAATCAGATTCAACTTTGCCTAACCATGAGATCGCATGGTTCAAGTCCATAGCATGCTGGTGCACATTCTAACCTTATTGCGATCGCATGACTCAACACCATAACATGCTGGCGCATGTCTTGATCTTGTTGCGGTCATATGGATCAAATCTTACGATTGCAATGTTTGATCTTTTTCTTTCAAATTAGTCCCTCAATATATATCCCCTTTAGTTCAGTTGGAGTCCTTTATCTTTCAAATCTTTACAATTTAATCCACATCATTCAGAATTTGTTCCTTTTTGAAATCAACATTGAACAAAAATTAAGGCCCATTTGAGTCCTAAGGAAAAAATAGATTTTAGAATAGTGATTTTTTGGAAAATGTATAATTAAAATATAAGGAAAAAAATTAGGTTTACTTGTAAAATTATTTTATAAGAGAATTAACAGTTGAAAATGAATTTGAAAAACAAAATGAGTTTCGAAAAAATGGAGCTCAAACATAAGCTAACAACAAAATAAAAGTAACTTTTAAACAGCAAAATTTGATGGTCAAGATAAGTGTTTCACTTATCAATCAAATACATAAATAATCGATTCGAAAAAAGTAATGTTAAGAACTTATAGAGAATTATTCACAGAACATGTGACGGCCATTTTTTATTTTAGTAGAAATATCAAGTTGAATGAGTCGACCATTCGACACGTACACGCCATTGAGCCTTTAACTTGAAGCATATTTTTTTTTAAATCACGTTCGCTCGTTATGAAAAAATATCTCTATTTGAATGGGCCCTTCACATTTGTCTAGCTTAATTCGAAAGATTCTTTTACCAACTACAGATTTTAACCTTATTTTCAAGATTTTCTTTGTCGATTTTGTTCTCAATTTTATTTTAAAATTTCAATTGGCTCCTCGACTTATTCCCAATGTACTTTCTCATCAATCAGTTGTTGATGTTTGCTCTTAAATTTTATTTTCCCAACGGATTTAAATTTTTGTCATTAACGTCCCTTTTGTGAGTGATTTTGAGAATTGATTATATAACTGTTAGGAAAAAAGTGGGGGCCATTTGTGAAAGAAGAAGTCAAACTTTACGACTAAAATAGTGAAATAACAGTCAAAAAAATCAATTTTTTGGGGTGAAAAACCACTCACAAACAAGCTCTAAATGTTACCGAATTAGATTTATCATTGTGCTCTAGATGCTCATGAGGAAAATAATCTAAAAATTCTTCACCATTTGTGTGAAGATTCCCATGTGATTGTTCTTGAACCTTCATCAATATGCAGTGCAGAAAGATTTAACCCTAGCTAAGCTTCGCAGTTGTCAGAGTATCTCCAAGAGATTCTCTAAACATGTAAGACTCTTTGATTAAAAGAGTCAACTCTTAAAATCATGCTTCTAAAGTAGCTCTCTACAATTAAATGCATTAAAAGTATGTCAATTTTCAATATAAGAAAATAATAAAATAATTACGAGAAAAGTTAGTTAAAATAAAAAATATAGAAAAATAATAATTGTTTTTTGAAAGTGGTACAATTAAGTGTTAAATGTAAAGAACCTGTTGGAGTGCTTCAAACTTTTTAATCTTTAAATTTATAGATACTCTCTAAACTATAAAATATGCTTTTTAAAAACAAAGAGTCCACGACCCTATCCTTGACTTCCCATCATGGTCCGTCTAATCAGCCTATCTTTCTCGCCCAGTCACCATAAATCTGTCTTATGATCATAATACATACAAATGGACCAATCTCCTCACAGCAATGCTTTGGGTCTCCACTACAATTATGACATTGAAGAAGGAGTAGTGCTACTTCAATTACGGCATTGACGAAGGAATCTCAATTATAGCATTGAAGAAATGGGTTAAAATAGCACAAAACTTCGTTAGAAGTCAGCTTTTGCTTAAATAATTTTATAACAAACTCAAAAATATAACAGGGTAAAAGAGAAATCAGAATCAAAAATTACAGAATAGTAACAACTAAATAATAACAAAAAGAAATTTGGCTGTGAAATTTACTAGCTGGGCTTTCTTAACTTCGGTTAATTGAATAGAATGATGACAGCAGATTAACAATTCTACATAAGCAAGCATCTGAGGATAGTGACAATCAAGGTGTACGCAAAACTTGCGATCCAATTTAGAACATCAATGCAATGAGATTGGGTTAATCACGTGCAGAGGCCTTTAGTCGAGCTCAGAGACATGCTTATCTAAAAATGCATGAGCCAAATTACTAAAGCTCGCGCTAATTGCGCCAGATGCAGCATACCGTTTGATGACATCGACTACTTCGGGTTTCAAAGTCTCTTCCTTATTCAATTCATTGCAGAGATAGTAAAGTGCACCAAGAGCATAATTTACCTACAAATAAAGATTTTGACTTCTGAGATAATTACAGAACGAAATGAAGAATGCTTAAGGCCTCTTAATAGTCAAGAGGATCTATAAAGTGCCAGCTAAAATGCAATCAACTCTATTAACAACCTAAAACCATCAGGAATTTTGTCAATAATAATAGTGTCAAGGTGTCCATTTGTAACTTAAAACAGATTCATTATGCAAAAAGAACCAACAATTCAGCAGGCTGATAAACGACATATAGACAATTGGAAGCAGATTAATTCACATGCACGATGACCCATTTCAGCAGTTTATGTAACGTATGAGAACAAGTATCGAATGCAGATTATGAAAATAGAATGCCTAGTTTTGTCCTTACAGTGTTTCTAACAGGGCTAGATAAACATTGGATGACGAGAGGGATCCCCCCACACTGAGTAACAACTGCAGCATTTGCTGGATCTGCACCCAGGAAACGCAATGGTTAGAAAGGAATAAAGTTACAGGAGAAATGCAGATGCAAAATATATGAAGAACTTGCAAACCAAGATATTCTTCCATAAATTTCTTCTTAATACTGTGGTGCCAAAGGTTTGATGTTCTTACCAGCACAGGAATTGCAGATTCCCCCAATGCCAAACTCCACAAGCCTCTCATTGGGCTCTGTTATGCAGTCAAGAAAAAGTTCCAAAACATTTAACTGCTTAAGATCAAAAGAACATTAAATGAGGTCCAAGATGGGAAAGAAATCATAATAAAGAAACAAAAAAGTCCTGGTGAATATTCTAAACCTGGCGTAAAAAGGTGTAATTGAAAGGATCATAAGCAAAGTTTGCTAAATTAGCAACAATCTTCTCTTTTGATTCTGCAGGAACAATAATTCCATCAGCAATTAGACAGCCAAAGATGGTATCAAGTAAAGAAGAGAAAATTATACTTTAGCTACTCCCTTGTACTTTAATAGAGAGCCGCATAAACGAATCCAAGTACATGAGCCCCCTCATGGTGGAATACAGAAACTAAAGAAATGAATCATGAGAAAAAGGAAAAAGAAGGGCAAGGGATCACATGAAAGACTATAGCATCATATTCAACCGTATTTGACAAAAAAATTCACTCTGATATTCTAAGCAATACATCCTTTCCCCAAATCATGAGAATGAAACTAACATCTCCACTTGGATTCTCATTCCCATGCAGTAGGTCTTCCATATCGGTAACAACTTTTCATGGTCAATCCCAGACAATCTATTTTATTGAGCTTGGCCACGAATACAATGGGGAATCAAATATCAAATTATAGAGTGATTTTGCACTTAACTAGTGCTTTGAAATTAAATTGTGCTAGCATCTAAGTGAATTTGTGACTTATTTCAAATTATTGAAAACTGTGCTAGGTTAACATACTACACCCTAGTACACACCATAAACAATCGCAGTGGACTACCAAAATCTTGCAGCGGTATTCTTAAAAATTGATGGATGGAGACAAATCAAGGGTTTGCAGCACCACGTCCATTATTAATCAAGTTGAACCTACCACACAGTTTTATAAACTACCAAACAGAGAGATCCACGTTCTCCTAAACTATGGACCAAAAAAGGGAAAGAAAAAAATGGGCAGTACAATTAAAAATGTCATAAAAATTACTTGAGCTAGGATTGATTGTGCATACCTTCATTAGATGCATTCTGAAACTGTGAGACCAATTCCTAAAACACAAAAGAAGGATTATCCATGGAAGAGATAAAAATTATGCAAAATATGATTGAAGCAAATGTACAAATATTTATGTAATTATCGATTAAAAAAAATAGAGTGCAATGGCATGGTTGTACCTGAAGATATTGCATCCTGGGAGTTCCATATTTCCCAGTGCGCTCTTCTTGTCTCCGTTCATTGGTGAACATGTTGGCTGCAATAGGAAATGGATAAAGAGCAATAATAATTTCACTGCAGCAAAATTTTACAGACGTGGAATTTCCAACAAAGCTTCTCATATCAGATAATAGAGCTTTCAATAACAGGGGGATTACAGTTTGAAAGGTAAATAAGATACTAACAAGAAGGGAACAATGGTCTTATGTTTTCTTTTATTATCTTTCTGTTTAAATCTAATTCTTGAAGCTCTTAACAATAAGCTCTTAATGAACACTCTACTAATTTTAAGAAAACGATAGTAAGGCCTTTGAATAATGAAAATCCACGCTAGGCATTTTATAGAACACTTTGCGTGCACTCTTGCGACACGATTTTTTGCTAATAATTGAGATTTGTAGCCCATCCAAGACATCGTCAAGAATTATAGTAGCATATTTTGCACAGCTTTCACAATTTCTCATCACCGAAAACTATTTTAATCCGCTCACCAATTAAATGGTATAGTAGCTGTAACACTACCACGTAAAGTAGAAGAATTTTGCGGCCCCAAAGATCCGAAAGATATTAATTCTTCATAATATTGGGATCCCAACAGAAAGTAGCAACCAAAACTTCACTTGAAGTCAAAATAGGTTTGCTAATCAAATTACAATACATTAGTGCTAGTCAAAAGCTCGAAAATGGATAAATATGAAGCATCCAAGTTACTGAAATTGTGAACATTCAAAGAAACCTTTGGCACTAATGAAGCCCCAAGTCCCTTCTTAGAACGATTCACTTATGAAGAAGTTCTTGAGACCGGAATACCTGAAAATTTGCAGCAAGTTTCCTTAGAAAAATACCGAGATCAGGAGTGGTAACATCTTAGTATCTTCTAAGGTGGTGCTAGAGGCTGTGTGGGATGTACTGTTAAGTTGTGAAAAAATGCCAAAAGCCCGGCATAGAGAGATGAACCAGTTAGTGGCCCAATTCGTAAAGGGGCGACTCACAAAAATAGGGTAATTGACACAAAACGTTCCTATTTTTTGAGTGTATTGTGAAAAATATCTCTATCTTTAATTTTTTACATTTTTTTCTCTATTTCCACATTTCTTTACGTCAAAAGTTCTTTTCACTGTTTTTTGGGTATAAAATGACCAATATACCATCCACTTTAAATAAAAGAAAACATTGCAACTATAGACAAAACTTCTAAAAAAGTGCAAAAAGAAAAAAGAAAACAAAACAAAAAATTGCAACTATAGGCGAAACTTCTAAAAAAGTGCAAATGCCGCCACCCCAAAAACTTCACCTTCTTCCCACACCTCATCCCCACGCCACCGTCATTTGTCGACCATTTTCAGCCACCTTTCAGTCAGCTTGGCAGTCGAACCAACATATCAACTTGAAACCCTCACTTCTCTCTTTACAACCCATCCAACCACTAGTCGAAAATCTAAAGGAATTGGCCGAAAAATTACGCCAAAATTGGCTGCTCACGCAACATAAAACGGCCAAAAATGGAGGCTGAAAACTCCATTTCCAACGACACCCATGGCACACCCATCTTCCAGGTCAATTATGCTCCTCGTTGTGCTCCTAAAGATGTTTTCATATCATCAAACAAAGTTGAAAATCAAAATCTACAGCCATAAAATTGGAGTTTGCGTTCGTTCAATCTTGAAAATTGATTGTTTGATTGATGAATTGATGCAATTGATGGAGGTCCCATAGTTGTGACAACATTAGTTGATGATTACGCCAAAATTGGCTGCTCACGCAACATGAAATGGCCAAAAATGGTGGCCGAAAACTCCATTTCCAGCGACACCCATGGCACACCCATCTTCCAGGTCGATTATGCTCCTCATTATGCTCCTATAGATGTCTTCATATCATCAAACAAAGTTGAAAATCAAAATCTACAACCATAAAATTGGAGTTTGCGTTCGACTGGTAGTTCTTGAGTTCAATCTTGAAAATTGATCATTTGATTGATGAATTGATGCAATTGATGGAGGACCTATAGTTGTGACAATATTAGTTGACGATTACATGCTAGAATTGGTGGATTGAAGCCATGTAACATCGTCAATTGAAAGGGGATTGGACGAGTTTCTTTGTGTACGAACTGTCGAGGCTATTTCTTTGGTTTCTGGCCAAAAATTGACGATGATCTATAGGTTCATTAGGTTTGCCTTGAAGAGGCGGTGCTAGAAGGGGTGGTCCACAATTGTCGATTGTGACATCGACGACGAAAAATGTGTTTGAAGTTGTCGATTTCGCTATTAAAGAAATCGCCTGGTTCTACAATTTCTGGTTAAAATTGACGATGACCTATAGGTTCATTAGGTTCTCCTTGAAGAGGCGGTGCTAGAAGGAGTGGTCCGTCGTTGTCGATCATGACGTCGGTGCAGAAAAATGGAGTTGAATTTGTCGATTTTGCTGTTGAAGTTGTGTGGACAACCTATTTTGGCGCGATCTTTCGGTCAATTTCTTTAGATTTCCGGCCAATGGTTGGGTGGGTTGTGAAGAGGAAAGTGGGCTTCAAGTTGGTATGTTGGTTTGATGGCCAAGCCGACCGTGGCGGTGGCGTGAGGGTGAGGTGTGGGAAGAATGTGAAGTTTTGAGAGGCATTTGCATTTTTTTAGAAGTTTTGCTTATAGTTACAATTTTTTCATTTCATTTCTTTTCTTTTTTCTTTTATTTAAAGAGGCGGGCATATTGGTCATTTTACACCCAAAAAATAGTGAAAATGACTTCAACACAAAAGAAATGTGAAAATAAGGGAAAAAATGTCAAGAAATGAAAGGTAGGGACATTTTCCACAGTATACTTAAAAGGTAAAGACATTTTGTATCAATAACCCACAAAAATATCCTTAAAATTAAGGAACTTTTGAAAATCATACGAAAATTTTTTTGACTATAAAATAATACTGTGTGATATTAAAAAGTGACACAATGTCACTTTCTTTTTTTATTAAAATTATCACTTTTTAATTAAAAAAAATGATACAATATCATTTTTAAAAGTTAAGTGTCACTTTTTTATTAAAAAATAACATATGATATCACTTTTATTAAAAAGTGATGTTTATCACAAAGAAAAATTACATAGATCAATAAGAAAATTGAAAAAAAAAAAAAAAGAAGTGACAAGCACTAAAAAAAAAAAAGTGACAAATACTAAAAACTGTGACAAAAATTTTAAAAAGTGACACAAATGAAAAAAAAAATAAAAAAGTTACACAAATTAAAAAAGTGACAGAAAATAAAAAAGTAACAAAATTAAAAAAGAAAAAAAAGTGACAGAGTATAAAAGGTGACAAACTCTCAAAAAACGTGGCATTCTATCCCACTTTTGTAAAAATGAAAATGAAAAATATAGCTGTTATGGGCTTACATAAGAGATATAAATTCAAAATTTGCCCCTGTTTGGCCCCCATTTTTAGTAATGAAAATGGGAAGAATAATGTTTTGTTGAAAAAATGAGTGGTCGAAAAAGAAGGAAATTTTTTCTATTTACGTGTAATATTATTTTATGGAAGATTGTGTGGTTGAAAATAGGAGAGAGAAAAATAGAATGTAATGAAATGTAATTTAATGGGAGCCAAACAACGGTTTTGTGGTTTGATATGATGGATAACAGTTATATTTTTCATTTTAATGGGGAAATAATGAGAAACAAATAGAAGATTATTTTTGTTTTGGCGTTACCTCTTTTAACGTATTTATGAGCTATATCATTTCGAAGTATTCATGACAAACTTTGAAATACATCTTTTGAATTTGAAAATCGATAAACGACAAGTTCCTAATAACAAGTCAAAAATGAACACAAGAAATTGACTTAATAATTATGGTTTATTTTGCATTCAATATTTCACGCGAGATAATTTTTGACATTTATACTTCATCCATAACATATTTATAATGACCTTATTACAAAGCTTTCTAATAAATTTTGAGTCTCTCAAAATGGATAATCGTAGCATAAAATATCATATTAAACGAAAAATTGGGAGTGTGGCCGTTTGTCTCTCAAATGATTTTACTGACTTTCAAATGTTTTATGTTTTTAATTGACATAATTAATACAATATTAAAACTTTAATTTGATTTAAATGTATTAAGCAATTCTTTATTTTTTTTAAGGGTATTGTGTCTAATTTCCGCAAGTCGAGATAGAATGCAAAATAAAAGTATAATGGGAAAATTTCACATACAAGAGATTAAGTATAGGGCATTTCAAAAATAAGAAAATAAGTATCATATTTCAAAAATCAGAAATTAGCCTAAAAATAAATACAAATATTAATATAATTTGATATGGAAAACAATCCCGAGCAAAGAGCCATAATATCAGGATTCTCCTAAAAAAGATTAATTCATCTTTCAATCTGATTTCAATAGCCAGAAGATCTGAAAATACATCCAATTACGACCGGCCATTGCGGAATTGACGGCGAAACCAAATTCTGGTCACAAATTGCAGTCGTGGGTCGTATGAGATCAGCTCGAACAGTCACTGAAAACATTATTCAGGCGTGTAATTAAATCGATCAGGTGTGTAATTGCGATTTATTCATTATAATTTGTCCTTTTTTCACGCTAGACAAGCTTCGATTGATCAGAAATATGATTTTTGACAGAACTCTGATCATGAATAACGGACATTGCCGTTCGAAACTGTTGTGACCGTTACGGAAAACATGTGACCCTGGATGCAAGATATAACCTCATGCATTCAGTATGTATGGGTGTTTGTGTCTCGAAATGTGTGAAATGTTTGAATCTGTGTATTATGATACTGATGCTCTTGTTCGAATCTAATCATATGCGACAGACCTATACTTAGTTACTGTGATCGATTATTGCATGTAATTGTAACACATTGAATACATGTGACCTGCATGTATTCAATGTGTGACCATGACATTCAAGATACTACATGCGTTTGCTTTGACCTGTGATCATTTAACAGAATTGTGACCGACATGCAATTAACTGTGACCAATATACAAAGACTTAAATGTCACATGTGACCTATGCAATGATCTGTGACCTATCGTAAAAAAAATCTGGGAAATAAAACTATGTGACCTGCATGTTTTCAATACGTGACAATGATACTTGAGATTCGATATATGTTTATTGTGACATTTGACCACTAATTTAATTTTGACCCATTTGCAGTTAGATTAAACATATATTTGGATGTTAGGCTGATCATGTATTTGCTAATTTTGCAGAAAATGGGGTTAATTCACGTGTGTCTGTTGAATGGATCACAAGTGTCACTGGTTTTAATTGATCGTAGTCGTGGGTATTTGAGGCTTGTCGACACAGTTATGAAAGAGTTTAGCTTTGACCCTGCAAAAGTTGCTGGGACAATGAAGTATGTCTTGAACAGTGATCTGCCTCCAGTAGCAATCAAAAGTGATGAGAACGTCTTGTCTTACATGGTTTTAAAGGATATGAGTCGTG